AAAGATTTATTGAATATAACTCAAGGAATGTAAACTAGAAAAAAAATACACTGAGGGGCTAGATAGCTCAGTGGTTGAGAGCACTGACTATTCTTGCAGAGGACCCAGGTTCGATTCCCAGCACCCACATGGTGGCTTTGAACCATCCTTAACTCCAGTTCCAAGGGAATCCGAAGCCATCTTCTGACCTCTGTGGCATTGCATAACACAGGTGCACTCACGTACATGCAGGCACTACACTCATACACATAAAATAAAAATAATAAAATATTTTTAAAAATACATTGAAATTTCAAACTCTAAAACTTTAATTTTTCAAAAGCCACTATTAACCAAAAATTAAGAGGCAACCAACAGACAGAGGAAAATATTTGTAAAACATATCTGACAAAGATATATTTTTCTAGAACTTATATCTAGACTGTTTAAAGACCTATTACAAACTCAGTAATATTCTTTTTTAAATATCCAGCTTAAAAAATTGGTAAAATATTTGGGCAGAAATTTTTTAAAGAAAATAAATGGAGCCAGACATGGTAACACACAGCTGTAATTCCAGCAGTTGGAAAGTGGAGGCAAGGAGGATCTTGAGTTCACGGTCAGCCTGGATTACATAGCCAGTTAATGCCAACTTGAGCTACACAGGAAGACCTTGTCTCAAAAACAAAACAAAACACCAAAAGTCAAAAATAAAAACAAAACAACAAAAAAATCAAGACTTGGCTTGAGGATATGGCCTTGTGGTAGATCACTTGCATGGCACATATGAGGCTTAGGGGTCTATTTCTAGTACTGTTACAAAAACAAAATCCATAGATGTCAAATAAGAATGTGGAAAAGATGATTATCATCATTAACCACTGGGAAACTACAAATTAAGACCATGATGTGATTACTAGGGCATACTCACTGGAAGAGTGTCTGTTCAAAAGATCTTCCCAGTGTTAGTGAGGCTGGGGAGGAGCTAGAGTTTTCATCCTTGGCCACTAGAAATACAATAGTATGAGCACTTTGGAAAACTATTTGATGTTTCTTAGGAATTACACACAAACCTGCCATATGATATCTAGCCTTTCTACTCCTCAGTATTTTCTCAGAAGTGAACGCAAATGTCCAAATTAAAGTTTGTTTATGAGTGTTCATAGGAAACAAATCAAATGCCTCTTGGCAGGTCAATGAATATAGTTGCATGTCTGTACAATAGACTGGTCCTCAACAATAAAAAAGGAAGGAATTATTGATACATGCAAAGGAAGGGATAACTTTCAAAATTATTAAGCTAAGTAAAGAAGCCAGGATCTAAGAGTATGTATTCTAGGATTCAATTTATATAAAATTCTAGAAAATGAAAGCTAATCCATAAATCAGTGCTTAGTAGTTGTCATTCTATGAAGATTATGAAAAGAGACATGAGAAAATGTGGATAATGAGCATCTTACTGTAGTGATGGTTTTATCACATCATATGCAAAAAATGTGTATAAGTATGTACTTTAAAATATGCAATTTAGTATAGGTAAATTTTATCTTAATAAAGTTACATAAAAATGAATTAATTAAACATTTTTCTAAATGTCAACTGTTCCTTTGTTAAAATCAAATATATTTAAATTTAACACATTTAAAAATGTTATGCATAATGTCCTTTTAAAAAGGTGATTTTTCTATTCATATTTTATATTTTTTATAGAACAGTAAAAATTTTAAATCCAGAATCTAAAAGCAGGAAATAAAAAAGAGTAGCTATTAATACTCTTGGGCAAGGTCCAGTTAGGCTACGCTAGAAAACGATTTTCGTAAATGTGGGAATCTGCTCCTCAGCTGAGACAGAAGAGCCAACCAACAAAGTAAACGAAGCTGCAGATACAGAACTGAAAGAACTAGGGTGGGAAGAAAGTCCCTGAGAGTCTTGGAAGAAAGCGGGATCCTGAGGAACACATAGGATTTCTCTTTCTCTGAAATCAAAGGGATGAAGTAATGATAAGCCCACATACAAATAGATTGGTATACCCTGGGTTAGGTTAGCAGAGTCTCTGTAGCACATTTTTAAGAAAGTGTGTGTGTGTGTGTGTGTGTGTGTGTGTGTGTGTTGCATGCATGTGAATATGCAGGTGCATGTGAATCCATGCATGCATGCAGAGACCCGAGGAAGATGTTGGCTACCTTCCTCTGTGACTCTCATATTACTCCCTTGAGACAGGGTCTCTCACTGAACTAGAAGATTGCTGTTTGTGGTAGGCAGGCTGGTCAGCAAGCTCCCAGGATCTACCTGTCTCTACCTCCCAATGCTGGGGTTATAGTTACACACAGTCATGCCTAACATTCTGTGTGGATGCTGGGGATTCAAACTCAGAACTTCATACTTACACAGCAAGCTCTATCACATACTGAGCCTCTCTAGCACCCCCCCCCAACCTTTTTTTTTTTTTTTTTTTTTTTTTAATAGTAAAGACAGGGACGTATCCTACTGAAAAGAGGAAGGTGGGGATAAGAAACTTGCAGTAAGTAATGGAAAGTTCAAGTTGGCTAATGTTTGGGAAGAGAAGAATCTGAACAGGAATATAGAAAAAAGATTGTAAAAAATAAAAGTTTTATCACATACAAAGCACCTGCTGATTTTTCTAGATGCCAGAAGAGACATTCTGTATGGCACTCTGGTTCATCACTCTGTTATATCTTTTCTAGATCTACATTTCTTTGTTTTTGAGGGGAGCCTTTTAGAAAATCAGAATTTTTTTTTTTTTTTAACTGTATAGTGTTTCTTGGAGACTCTCCTTTTCAGTAGTGGGAATTGAGCTCAAGGCCTTGTGTATGCTAGGCAAGTGCTCTATACTGAGCTATCCACTAAGCCCTCTTTTAGACATCTTTCTATGTCAGTATACATGGATATCTCGTTCTTTCCATTCTTCTTAATATTAATCTTTGTACTAATATTTAAATCATGTGGCTGTACCATAACATATAGCATCTTAGGTTGTTACCAATTTCTCATTAAGTATTGTATCTTGTATACGTCTAAAGGTTTGTATTTCTCAAGATAACATAGAGGCAAAACTATTTTGTCAGAAATTATGCATATTTTATAGTTTGATATTGCCAAATTGTCATCCAAAATGTTTATCATAGACTTCCACTGCCTGGGAAAATTAATTTCCCCATTCTGACACCAGTGAGTTATTTCCTTATATTTTATATTTCTGAATATGTGTGTGTATTTGTTTTGTATTTGTTCGTTTGTATGTATGTATATGTGGAGGCCTGAGATCATCATCCTATTTATTTTATTTTATTTTATTTTTTTATTTTATGTATATGCATGTATTGCCTGTATGTAGGTAAGTGCACCTGTGTTGTGCAATGCCTGCAGAGGTCAGAGAGGCTGTCGGATCCTCTGGGACTGGAGTTACGGACAGTTGGTAGCTGCCATGTGGGTTCTGGGATTCGAACCCGGTTTTTCTGCAAGAACAACCAGTGTTCTTAACCGCTGAGCCATCTCTCCAGCCCCCAACATCCTATTTTTAAAATGCTCGTAAACTCTTTGGCTTTCTTATGTGAGTTGGCCATTTTATGCCTTTCCAGGCCTTCAGTTCTAGAAAAAGCTTCAAATTGTGATGTGTTTAAATCTTTTATTATTTTCCTTAATGATTGTTGGATTTTTAAGTCTTGCTTAGAAACAGCTTCCTTAATTAAATATTACTTAAATTTTTCTCAAAACTTGTATGGCTGAATTTTGTTTTGTTAGTTTTTTGGGTTTAACTCTTTAATCTATCCAGAATTAATACTTGGTGAATGATATATAATAAGGCATTATTGTTTTAGATTCAGTAACTGAAACAAATACTAAAGTATAGAATGTTTTCAGGTAAGTAATTCTGGAAAGATACTGGATACTAGAGATGTTTGTTTGCTTTGTTCTAATCAATATATGTTCTTGTTTCTGAAGTAGGTGCATATTGTGAAATCAATTTTAGGACAGCTGATACTAATGTTTGTATTAAGTAGCCATTAACTTTTCCATCCAATAATGAAATTATTAGAAGCCATAGATTTATGTTTTCCAACATCGTTAATGTGCCACAGGCATTAAGCAGAAATATGTCTTGTAGTCAGTATCTACAGTTGTTCCAGTTCACAATAATGACAATTCTTTTAAAAGCTATACAACTGGAAATGGTGGTATATGACTGTAGTCCCAACACTTGAGGGGCCGAGGTGGGAGAATTGAGAGGTCAAGGCTAGTACAGGCTATAATAGTGAGTTCCAGGTCAGCCTTGGAAGGATAGTGAGTTCTTGTTTCAAGAAAACCTGAAAGAAAGAGAGAGGAGACATTTGAGGAGAGAGATGGGGGGGGGGTTCACAGAAATAAAGAACAAAGAAAGGAAAGAAAGAGAAGTTAACCTTTTTTCTAGTGAGGGGAGATTTTTTGGTGTCCTAATCAATTCTTCAATTACCTCCCCCAGGCCTGGTAGTGCAGGCCTGTAATTCCAGCTACTCAGGAGACTGAGGCAGGAAGATTCTGAGTTCAAGCTTAGCCTGGGCAACTTGGTGAGACTAAGAGCACTTGTCTAGTATATATGGGGGTGATGGTGAGGGCCTAGGTTCAAAATAGATCTGACACTAGTGTGGTTTTGATATTTTGTTCATTTAGATTTTGTCTTTTGTTTTGAGGTTTGAGATGAACTAATGATGATCTATTGAATAGTGTTTGTCTTTTTTTTAATTAAAAACATTTTTATATGCATGTTTTGCCTACATATATGTAAATACACCATTTGCATGCAATGCCTGCAGAAGGCAGAAGGACTGGAGTTGAGCACCATGTAGGTGTTGGGAACTGAACCCAGGTCCTGTAGCAAGTACTCTTAACCGCTGAGCCATCTCTCCAGCCCCATAGTTGTCTTTTTTGTTAGATAGTTTTGTCCATTTTGATAGGCTCTCAAACATACAGTGTAAAATAGGCTTAGGATTCTTACATTTATAGCTCTTCATTATTTCCTTTAGGCAACTGAGAACTTTGAATCAACATCTCAGAGAACAAGAAAAACCTCCAAAGGTACCTGGCAACCTTGAATGTAGGTAAAAGAGCTTTAAGAATTGAACTTTAAGTCTTTGTGGCTATGGAAATGTTGATAAAGAATTGAACTTCTGTAATTACTTTTTTAAAAGTGCTTTTATCATTTTTATCAACTTTTAAAGATGAGGAATAATAACAATATTAAAGTAGTAACTGAATACACACCTATAAACCCAGCACTCGAGGGCAAAGATGGGAAGATTACAAGTTCTAGGTTAGCTTGGGCTAAATAGCAAGACTGTCTAAAAATTGAGGATGGGCATAGTGGCACATGTCTTTAATCCTAGCACTTGGGAGGCAGAGGCAGGAGGATCTCTGTGAGTTCAAGGTCAGCCTGGTCTACATAGCAAGTTCCAGGCCAGCTGGAGCTACAGGGAGACCCTGTCTCAAAAAGACAAAAAAAAATAATAATAATTCAATTAATGCAGAAAATAAAAGATTAGTGCTGTCACTTCTAATAACACATTTCTACTATACTGAAAATAGAACTATATGTGTACTTATAGTTTTTTAAAAACTGAGATTGTACTTTGTTTTCTAAGGCTTACATTTATTTAAATTAAAATATAGTGAACATTTTTCTCTGTCAAAATACATAAATATTCACTGGGTATGGTGGCACACTTGTAATCCCGCCACTTGGGAAGCTGAGGTAGGAGGAGTACCACAAGTGTGAGGCTAGCCTGGCTTACATAGTGAGTACCACTCAAGCCAGGGCTATCTGTAGTAAGATCCAGTCTTGAGAAACCAAATGAAGTAAGTAAGTAAGTAAGTAAATAAATAAATAAATAAAAAGTAAATAGGCATATTTCTTAAATAACCACTTAAATATTCTGCTTATTGTCTGTGATATGACATATTTCAGTTCTTCTGAAAGATATTTGGGTTCTTTCTGCACTTTCTGTAGTGCAAACAGCACTAAAAGTAAAATCTGTGCAAATGTCTTTGTGCACATACATAAGCATCTTTGCAGGGTAGATTTCTTCTAGAATTCCTGGGTAAAAGAGTGCTCAGAGTTGCTTCTTTGTTTGTTTGTTAACACATTTTTATTTGAAAGTCTCATAATTTATATTTTAGAATTTTATTTATGTTTTTATTGAATTTTTATATATTTCATATACAACATCTTAGTCCTCTTTATACCCCTCCCCCACCCCCACCCTCCTAAAGCCCCTCCCACACACTCTGGATTTCATGTATTCTGTCATTTATGTTAAGGCCTATCGAGTCAGGTTAGTGTCCCCCGATGTCCCCTGGTGCAAGTTCATCCACTGAGGTCTAGTCAGCCCATCTAGAATCACTCCCTTAAAGAAGATCAGCTCTTCCTCACCCAGTAGTAATCAGCTGCCCAACAGTTCTTCAGCTAAAACTGGGGCCTGCTGCCCATTTCCACAGTTCTATGGTAGGTTTTTTGTGTGTTTGAGTTTGTGGGTCTTGTGCATGTTGTCACCATTACTATAATTTCATAAGAGCAAGATCCCAGGAGCCTGTAAGACTCTTATTTCCATATGGTCATGCACCTTCTCCCTTGGCTCTTAGAATCTTTCCACCCCCTCTTCCACAATAGTCCCTGAGCCCTGGGTTCATTGCCCTCTGTTGCTGAGAGTTTGAGAGATGCGTTAGTTTTTGCTCTACCCCTAGTTCCACTATGTTTCATGAGTCTTAGGTGTAGAGGTTCCATTGTAGATGTGTTGCTTAGGGTTGTGGAACTCTTTAATAGTCTCTGACTGTTGCAAAAGAAGCTTCTTTGGTGAGTGGTGACTGGTATACTTGGTTATAAATATAAGGATCCATATTTAGCACCTACTAAGAAACTACATTTGTCTAGGGATGTGACAGCCTTGGGGTTAGATCTGTGACCTCTCTAGCTATGTATATTTGGCTATGTTTATAGTACCACACTTGAGTTCCTGCCCATTGAGTGGGCTTTAGGTCCAATTAGTTAGCTGTTGATTACCTCCAAGATAAAAGTGCCACTTTTGCCCCAACAGTGCAGGACACTGTTGCGGTTATTAGGCCTTAAAGCTGCGGTTTATCTTCCATTGATGTTCTTCCTTAGCAGCTTGCATAGTGCTCTCCAAAGCTATGAGACCTAGCCTTCAGGGGAAGTGGCTTCCATGCCAGTTCTAGCTCCATTCTCCAAGTTCTGTGTCTAAAGCATGTCTTGTCTTCAGCAATAGGGTCTTACCTTTAAGTTCTGGGAGGCAATCAAGGGCTGTGGCCATAGCCTGGGAGTCTCTTGAACTACCTTAGCCAACAACTCAAAGGGAAAGTTCTCCTGTCTAGCACTGTTTCTTGTTATGTAGCCTTCAGCTATACATATAGACTCATGTAGAGATACTGTATCTGTCATTTTCAGTAGATTTTTGACAGTTTCAAGTGGCTCCTATTTTCTCTATTTTGTTTGGTTTTGAGATGAGGTCTCACTATGTGGCATACGCTACTCTTGAGTTCCTGGGCTCAACTGATCTTCCTTCTTTGTGCTGCCCAGTCACTGAAACTACACATATGTATGCCAGATTATCCTTATGGGTCACAGAACTTCATAGAGAAGAAAACTTAACAGCATTAGAAGAAAAGATGAAACTTAAAAAAAAAAATGTTCTCAGAAGTTTCTCCTAATTCTGATACAAACATGAATGTTACAGGGAAGCAGACGGATGAAATACAGCTCTATAATTTTTTCAATTTCAGATACTTTCCAAAAGTATCAAAATAGAAATTTTTGAAGTACATGATACAACAGGCTTTAATTTTGTAATATATAAACATCTCTTACAAAGCAGTAAGAAAAATATGAGCATTAAACAGAGCAGGTACTTCATGAAATTGTTTAACTTCACTAGAGTATCAGCTGTAGTTTCATTCTTCTACATGTAGACACCCAATTTCCCCAGAACCATTTGTTAAAATTAATGTGGATCTTTTCTTTTTCATCTTTGTCAAAAATCAGGTATCTATAGTTGTATGGCCTTTATCTGGGTGCTCTGTTCTGTTTTATTGATCTACATGTCTGTTTTTGTGCTAGTACCATGCTGTTACTATTATGGCTCTGTAGTCTAACTTGAAATTGGATATAGTGATACTTCTAGCAGTATTCTTTTTTGCTCAGAATTGCTTTGGTTATCCAGAGTCTTATGTGCTTTCATATGAATTTTAAGATTGATTTTTCCTATTTCTGTGAAGAATGTCACTGGAATTTTTTTAACATTTTATTTTGTGTGCTGTATGTTGTGTGTCTATGTGTGGAGCATACACATACCATGCCATGCATGTGGAGTCAATGGATAACTTTTGAAAGCCAATTTTCTCCTTCCACCATATGAGTTTCAGGGATCAAACTGAGGTTGTCAGGCTTAATGGCAAGTATCTTATAACACTGAACCATCTTGCTGGCCCATCACTAGAATTTTGACTGGGACTGCATTGAATCAGTATATTGCTTTTGGTAGGATGGCCATTTTCCACAACAGTAAGCCTATGAACTTGGGAAATCTTTTCATTTTCTAGTGTCTTCCATAATTTCTTTCTCCCGTGTTTTAAAGTTTTCATTATTAGAGGGCTCACATCCTTGGTTAGTATTTTTCCAAAATTTTTTGGTTTTGTTTTGTTTTTGAGATAGGGTCTCACTATGTACCCTGACTGGCCTGGAACTCACTTTGCAAACCAGGCTAGTCTCTAATTCACAGAAATCTGCCTGCCTCTGCCTCCCAAGTGCTGGGATGAAGATATGTGCCACCATGCCTGGTTTGTTTTTATTTTTTGAGGCTATTGTGAATTGTTTCCCTGATTTCTTTCTCTGTATGCTTGTAATTGGTATATACGAAGACTACTGATTTTTGTGTGTTAATTTTGTATCCTGCCACTTTGCTGACAGTATTTATCAGTTCCAAGAGTTTCTGGTAGAATCTTCAGGGTATCTTAATTATAGAAGCTTATCATCTATAAATAGGGATACTTTGGCTTCTTCCTTTCCTTTTTGTATTCCTTTTATTTGCATGTCTTGTCTACCACTCTAGCTAAGACTTCTAATACTATATTTAATAAAATTGGAGATACTAGGCTGGAGACATGTCTCAGCAGTTAAGAGTACTGGCTGCTCTTGAAAAGGACCTGGGTTCAGTTCCTAGCACCCACATGGCTACTGACAACTGTCAATAACTCCAGTTCCAGGGGATTTGATGCCCTCTACATTGCACTCACATGGTGCACTTACATACATGCAGGTAAAAATTCTCATACACATAAAATAAAAATAAGTAAATAAAAATTTTTTTTAAAGAATGGAGCTGGTGAACACCTTTGACTTTTTCCTATTTTAGTGGGAATATTTTGAGTTTTTCCCCATTTGGTATAATGATGCCTATGGGTTTATTATTTATAGCCTTTACTGTATTGATATATGTTCCTTCTGTCCTGAATTTCTTGAGGACTTTTAACATGAAAGGATGTTACATTTTGTCAAAAGCCTTTTCTGTGTCTGTTGAGATGACCATGTGATTTCTGTCCTTGAGTCCATTTATGAAATTTGTAACATTTATTGATTTATGTATAGCAATGGTATACCCCTGCATCTCTGGAACAAAGCCAATTTCATATGCTTAATGATGTTTTCTTAAATTTGGTTGGCAAGTATTTTGTTCAATATTTTTATATCTACATTCATTAGGAAGACTGTTAGTAATTTCTTTGTTTTTGTTACATCTTTGGTTTTGGTATCAAGGAAATACTAACCTTGTAAATAGAAATACAGAGTTTGATAATGTTTTATGGAATAGTTTGAGAAGCACTGATGTTAGTTGTTGGAAGATCTGGTAAAATTCACTAGTGAATCCATCTGGGCCTGACTTTGTTTTAGTTGAGAAATTTAAAATTACTTCTTAAATCTCAGTGAGTATTGTAAAACTGTTTAAATTGTTTATCTCATTTTGGTATATTTTGGTCAGTCATATGCATCTAGAAATTCATCCATTTCTTTTAGATTTTATATATGTATAT